TGCTATGTATGTGGCAACATCAGAACTGATGATGACTGGGACCGGATGCCTGGGGTGAAAAAACATTTCTGGGTGTCTTATTTGCCTGTTCATGTTAGAAGTAGAAAAAAAATAGTCAGCGATATCATAAAATCAGTTGATGCTGGTATTAATTATGAAGTTGTTTCAAGTGTGAACTTAAGGGAGACAAACTACCTTAAAAGCTTTCCATCCATGATCTGAACACGCTGATTCTTGCAGGGTGGTGTGGGGGGCTGGTGGTGCCCATCTCTAGCAGCCATCAGATGAGAGGCAGTGTTCACCCTGGACAGGTCACCAGTCCATCACAGTGCCCTGAAAGCCAACAACAAATAACAAGGGGAATAAATTCTGTCAAATTATTTTCAATATTTTGACATATGTTAAGAATTTAACAAATGTATTAAATCCTTAACGCATTTAGTGTTGGAAACACACCAGTTTTTGCTGCTGTTAGAAATGTAGTCAGCTACTCAGTGTAAAAAAAAAAAAAAAAAAAAGCCTTCCATCATGAAGACGATGTGGAGGTTCATCCTCAGAACTGGTTGGTGATCTGGTGGAGCCAGAACCTCTTCTGAGACAGGAAAGTCTTTAGGTTTTCTAATTCCTGATCCCTGGCTTCCTCTTTCATCTTAATTTGCTTAGACTGCAAAAATATATTGAAGATAAAAACAATGATGAACGAGTTATAACCACAGCCTCACAATGTCAAAGTCTCTTTGGCATACTGAGCTTAACTAAACCAAGTTAAGTTTATGAAGAAAATGATAAGTCTCAACACAGAGACCCTCCATGCAGTTATAACATAAAGTTGAATGACTGTTATAATAACAAGCATAAAAATCACCAAAAAAGGCTAACTATTTCTTAAACCAACTTAAGTTTGTTTATATATGTACTGCACTGTTTATAATTAAACAAAGATAATTAGCATTTTGAAGCAAACAGCCTTGATCCCTTCGAGCTCCTTTTGTGACTCAGATTTCATTTCCTCCCAGTTCTTGTCCTGTTGTATTATCATCTAACTCGGAGCAGGAGGTCACCAGCTAGAATTTACCAAAACTACTAACTAGGCCCTCTCTACTTTTAAGGTAATACTATGGAGTAAAAATTGCGAATTTGAACAGCATCTCTTCTCCCCAGCTTCACGATGAGGCTGTTCTACTTCTTATCGCGCGTTTAAAACAAACTGAAAGTGTGCATTACTGCCACCCTCTGGTCTGGAGTCTGAACTGGAGCTAATGCCGTTCTCTAATAGATTTTACGTCATACATCTGAAAATGGGTTGGGTAAAGGCAGCTTCCCTGTTTTAGTTAAAAAACTGAAAACAACAGACCATATTCGGAGATATGTAAAACTGAAGATATCTACTACATTTAAGTGTTAAGGACAAGCATTGGTTTTGTTGTAGAACCTGTGTCACTAATCTGTAAATGTTTGTTTTGAGGCCTAACATATTTATTAAGCAACATTGCATTAAGTTCCACTATAATGGTTTTTCATTTAATTCCTTGCCATTTTAACAAAATAGTAAAAGATTATTAAGGCCCCTAAAAAGGCATACTTCATTAGCCTAAAGTATACACTGAGATGCAATTTAAAACTTACTGAAACTTCAGTATATTTAATAGTTTACTTTTAAAGTAAGCTTTAAGTGAATTTTAAAAAACATTTATTTTGAGCATATATTTTAAAATATAAGCAAACTATCTTTAAAAGCATTTTGTTTCATTGCTACACTTGAGCAAATACATATTTTATAAATGCATACTTTTATTTAATATATTTCTTAAAAGTGTAGTGTGGTACAATTATATTACAATATAATTTATTATTATTTCAGCAATTCTTTCTGTTTTAAATTAAGTAAAAAATGGCCTGGCTGATGTCATGCACTCTACTACAACAACTCGCACACTTATTCCTATTTTTCTGTCTTAAATAAGTATATCTTAACTGCGCATAAAAACTGACGCGTTCTTCTTCTATGTCCTCGTGGGCTTCTCTCTCTTGCTGTCGCTTTACCGAGCGAGTATCGCCTATTCTCGGAAAAATGAGGTCGCACGGGGCGGTTGGGCGCACGTGCACAGCACAACTTGTCGTGGCATCACCACCTTGTGCTCACCCAAGCCAAACCCGCGCGCGTGCGTGCGTTCCCGGCGACGATAGTGTCAAGCTGTTGTGTGCGCTCGCGCTCCCCGGTGACGCCTGACTCCGCGTCAAACGAGCGCCGCTCGTTCGCGCCTCCGCTCCTCGTCAACTGCGCACTGAGAAAGAAAAAAAAAAAATCAATATCTGTTGTACCCTAATCTGGCTGTCCCCCGTGTGAAACGCCGCGCGGTCCTTCTGCACAATTACTGGGCGGAAACGTTTATTGCTTTGTTGCGTCACGAAGTTTTTTTTTTTTTTTTTTTTTTTTAGGCCCCCCCGGTGGAAAAAGGGAAAACAGAGTCGACGCTTGTGAATTATACAGTCTCAATTAAACATAATTAACAGATGAAAACTGCAGCGCTGGGGGTCCTCGGGGAGCGCTGACAACCCCGTCCTTTCCTCACCCCCTCCCTTTGCCTCCCTCTCTCCCCGCATCTCCCCAAGTGTTGCCTTGTGGTCCCATTGCAGACAGATGGTGAAGATAGCCTACTGCAAGGGGTCATGTTGGCCGACTGGGACTGGATGTCATAAGCTGAATTTTTCTCAGAGGCAAGAAACAAGGCTGCATAAGCAGATCAAAGGGCTTGTTATTAAGGAGCAGTTCACTGCCCTCTTCTCCCCCCTCCGCTTCCTCCTCCTTCTATCCCTAGAATAAAAATCTCCACCTGTTGAGGTCCTCTATCCTCCTCCAGATCCGCAGCCTCCCAGGCTTGGAATGAAAGAGATGCATGATTGCATAATGTAGACATAAAAGAGAGGGAGAACGACCACACTGAGCGGATAATGGTTTATTTTTCTTCTTCAGAAAAAAAAATGGTTCTAAAATATAAAAGAAACAGATAGCTGCGACAGGCTAGAGAAAGCACACTCCCTCCCCCATGAGGATGATTTTAGAGTATTAACAACGACTTTCATTCTCAAGCTCTTCTTCACCAAAATTTAGTCCGTGTGGAGTCTGGTTGAGGTTGTCTTATTCTATATTTAAACACAAAGCTGTTGCCAGGGAAATAAAATCATACATGTGAAGGGCCTTCATAAATAAGCTTTTAGAAGCTGTGCTTTTATTAATTACATTGAAGGATATGCATGCCCACAGACCTCTCCCTCTAGTAATTTCTGGGACATGACCTTTCTTGGGGAGCCACATGTGCAGAGTTCTTCACATCTCTCTGTCTCACTAAACATTCAATCATCATTTAATAGTGATTCACTTCTGCTCTGTCTGCATTGTGTGAACTTTTTTTTTTGATTGCATTATGTGAACTGAGGAAGTGTCGGTGGTTGGGAGTGAGGTGGGCTGGAATCATTTGAACATGTCTGTTTTATTATAATAGATTTATAAGTGGCGGTCTCAGTTGTCATGAATCTTTCATGGATATCTAGCAGTCGGAGGAGAAGTTACCTTAGACATGTCAAGCTGCAGAGACAAAGATGGACAAACATGCAGACAGATCAGTTCAGGTTGCAATGGGCCTCCTACACCCCACTGAGCTGCTTTAACTCTTCATTTCCTCTGTCTAATTAAATTCGACAAGCCTTCGTGCTAAAAGCTCAAAGTGGAATGTGATTATAGAATATTTGAAAAACATGAGAGAGTCATTATCACTGTGCAGCGTGTCAACAGTGTGCTAACTATTTTGTTATTACTCTGTATAATTATTAAAGTGGAAAGCTCATTTCACTATTATTGTTTGGCTAATAGTCAAAAGCCCGGCACTCTACTGTTCCTGGAATGAATCAGACAACAGGAAAAGGAGTCTAATTAAAACATCTCCAGCTATGCAACCATCGAGCAAGCAAAGAAACCAACTGATAAGAAAAAAAAGTTAACAAATAAACAGATAAACTACAGGGGAGACAGCATGATTACACAAGCCTGACAAAAACAGAGAGATGTATCTGATTATGTAATTTTTGTATCCATGGGAACTGGGTTTTTCAGTGTCACCACTTTTTGTTATGTCAGAGGCGCAACCCAGAAACACATGTCTTATGGTTTTCTATTGGTACTGGTGGACAAGCCGCATCCATTTATATACAACTGAGTGCATTGACTGCACAATCTCAGCCACACATTCAGAGCTGTGGCTCTTCCTCATTGATTAATCCCTGCAGCAGTCCATTCAGGGCTCAGCTAATGTGGAATTTACTTTAAAGATACCCTGATAATAGGAAATGGAAACCTGCAGTACAAAATACTATAACTCTTAATGTCGCTTTGAAACTTATGTTTGCATTGTAGATACAGTTTTAAGAATTCAAACTTCAGCATACAGTTTGAACTCCATCCAAGAGTGTGAACTCCAAGTTCCATTCTTGTTGAGAATGGAACTATGTTCCCTGGGGTCTCTTCTTGTCAAACATGCTCAGAAAACTCTCCACACAAACAGGCCCCGAGGTATGCTAATCATATGCCCCTATCATCTCAAATGACTCATTACAATATGATATGATTCACATGAATAGCATACTTAGCTATTTTACAAAACTTTTACCTTTGTTTGTTCTTAACGCCACTGAATCAGATAAAGTGGAGGGCAATTTAGTGTCCAAATACTTCATAATTCATTTTATTTCTTTTGGAGATTTAAACCATCTTCCAGTTCCAGTGTTAAATATTCCTTAGAATTAAAGTTCATTGATCTTTTAGAATGTGTTTATGTGTTATTATTTTGTCATTAGCATTGTATTTTGTAACAATGGTCTCAAAACAATAATATTATTGTTTATTGCAATAACTTCTGGAACAATTTATCATCCAGCAAAATTTATTGTGACAGACATGTATAGTTTTGGTACATCTCTAATGAAAAATAAAGTTTAGTAGCTACTTCACAAAACTTTAGACTAACATAATAAAAATGCACAATGGCATGATTCACTTTGAAAACTGCAGCTGGTGGGGAGCTGGTTGGTAAAGAAAGTAGGTGGGCTGCGTTCAGCATAATGACTGCAGCAAGAGCTCAGATGAGAGGCAAGCCTACAGGACTGATTTGTTTTTTTTACACAATGAACATTCCTCACTTTGGTCTCAGTTGAGGCACCACCACTGCTAGAGCACATAGCTTTATATAGACTCAGCAAATGAATCATCTCATCAATAAATGGAATCAAAATAGACTGAAATTTATTTGAAGCACTCTTTGTGTAACAGAAAGCTGTGAGATCTGGTATTTACTGAGTTATAGACATTATTTACAGCTGTACTGTCTTGTCTCCCTCAGATTCTCCTCTTTGTCTTGCTCTGTCAGAGCCTGGATTACCTGGAATGTTCTCCCACAGACGGCCCTGCATCCCGACGGAGAGGTAGTGCTCGGATCTCGGTCAAGATTTGGCCACTCTTTCTTTGGGAGAATAGCCAACCATTTAATTTTATAGGCATTGCTGAGAATCATTTCTCTCAAAAACTGATGGATGATTACGTCCCGTCATAATTCTGATCACAGAAAAAAAGTTAACGAATGCATGAGCCAAATCAATTAGCAAGGAGTGATGCACCGCTTCCTATTTCACTCGACTTCATCAGCAATTATCGTTAGATTCAAAAGGTCAGTGAAAATCTAAATAATTAACTGTAAGGGATTACTTAGAAAGCTCAACATCTCTTGAGAATCCAGCCTTCATGAAGATTGGTTGTCTTCACTTTCCTTTACTAATATGCATGAATTGCATATACCTTTTATTTTTATAAGGTATGTATTTGCAGGAAGTGGTGCTCAGTTGCTTCAATTTTCTAATTTGTTCATGAATTCCATGCAGATTAAGCACTTAAATGTTTAGTTTTTTCTCAGGGGAAAGCATAACACAGCACAAACACTCACAGGCAGACGTTTCAGGTGTGAAACTTGGTTCCACAAGACTGTGATTTTTGGAAATCTCAGTGTTCACTTGATGTCTATGGCAGATGTAAAATGCAATGCATAAATAAAAAAGTAAATAAATAAAAAAAATGCTGCACATCATTCTGAGCCCACCATCCCAATGATAGCACAGGTTTGGTAGCAGTATCATGCTGTGAAATGTTCTCCACTGGGCGGAAGGCAGAACGGCATAGGGCAGGGTCACCAAATCCAGTCCTCGATGGCTACCATCCTGTAACTTTTAGATGCGTCTCTGCTCAAACACACCTGGATCAAATAAACTGCTCGTTTCCAGCCTATTGCAGAGAGGAATGAATGCTGGTGAGGGAATTCAGACATTTTGGAGCAGAGGTGAAGCTAAACGTTGCAGGATGGTAGCCCTTGAGGACTGGAGTTGGTGACCCCTGGCACAGGGGATGCGACTATGGACGCGCACCGGGCCCTTCTAATGGATCTCCCAAGCTGCGGCGCCCGGGCGGTGCATTGCACTAAATGGTTGCCATGGGAGATCTGACAATGTCTCAAATGCATTTTAATGAGAAAATGACTCATCATGAACATGACAGTATAAGATATTATGCTGAAACCTAAACAGTTGATGGTGATATAAACACCAAATAAGGACTTTTACTTTTTAAATAATCAACCCTTTGTTTTTGAATCCTTGGGGGATTTTCTCTGTTGTTGTTGGACGGTGGGATTAGATCAGACTCTTTCTACAATGAGTTTGTCTTGTGTCATTTATCCATTTCAATGTTACTTGTGCCGTCCCCAGAGGGTGCGGTGCCCTGAGCAGTGAGCCTCATCTGAGCCCCAGAAGACGCTCACTGCTCACATTCATGTGAGACATGTTTTAGTAGAAACATTTAAAAGCCAATATTTGAACCCAGGACATTGTGGGAAAGAGTGTTAATAACTGCCACTAATAAGTCCACAAACACAACAAGAAGCAGAGAAAGAAAAACTGCAGAAAATATAGATGAACTGCTGGACAGTTTGTAGGTCAAACTGTTGAAACAAGGAAAACAAAACAATAGTAAAAGAGTAAGCGAGAGAAACACAAATAACATAAAGAAAAAGAGAAATTAAAAACTGGACAGAGAACTGAAGTAAACAAACCCAAAGTGATGTAAGGAAAATCAAATTAAGGATAGTGTTTGAATTCTGAGGCCTCTGAGATTGAAATGGGTAAAAAGCTTTTTCCACGTCAGGGATGAGGCTGCCTCAAACAGAGTTTAACCATGGACAGACAGACAGATGGACGGAATATAATGGAGCGCCACAACTTTAGATAGCGCCACAGCAACTGTTTCATCTTGCTTCTTGGACAAATTGGCACATTAAACAAAAAAACATTTCTCTATTGTTAATATTCTTTTCTTAAGATTTGATAAAGACACGATTCCAGCTTGAAAAAGCAGTTGTCACTCTGCCAATCACAGTAATGACATGGAGGTCACAGTCTGCCTGTGCTGCTGTAGCACCGGCTGGCAGAAACAGAGGAGCAGAAATGACACAGCCTCCTCAATATGATCCTTCTTATGATGCGTCCTGGAACACACAAAACACAAAATCCTGAAATCCAGTGGCTATGGAGAAACATAGCATCTCACAAAATATGTATAAATCTTGAGTCTTTATCATGTTTTGACTACAACAAACTACAATGATTGAACTACAATGAGGTTACATGGTTTCATCTGAGCGGAGCCCGTCCCTCCACATGTTTGCTGTCTCCACTACATGGTTTGCAGCAAAGACAAAACCTCGTTTGGCGTTCTTTCAGCAATAGCTTTCCTCTGGCTACTCTTTCAAAACGGCTAGCTTTGTAGAGTGCCAACTAATAGTTATCTCTTGTTGTAATTATGCAGATCATATCAAGCTGCATATTTCAAATCTGTACATTTTACTAAAACTCCTACATTCAAATAAAAGCTGAAAGTCAGACAGTTTTTTTATGCATATTAAAAAAACTGAAATAACAATCTTTCCACCAGAAAAAAATACCTAAAGATTAAACACCAAAATCCTTGGGCATATTGGTGTTTTGGTAACATCTGCTATTAGGAACCTTGGGATAACTACTGACTCAAGTTTAAGTTATGTTTGAAAATCAGGTCAAATCATGTTGGTTTGAAAAATTATGTAATTGTTTCCTTCATTTGAAAAACATTGACAGACTTGGTTTAATCAGACTGAAATTAAATTTTAATTTATTTTTTGCTTTGTTTCATTTGAATTATTGTAATAGACTCTAAGCAAAACTTCCCAAGACCGGATGCAGCCTGCTGTTTCCAGGCTCCTGACTAAATCTTTCATATTTTTTCATGTGACCAAGCTCCTGATGCAAAATGGCTCCCAGTAGATTTATAGGAGCATTTCAAGAATCTGGTTTTAACTTAGTGAACTCTTAGTGAGCAGATGAGCAGCATAATAGGTGCAACTTAGCCTGTATGGTTTCACAAATATACAGAACATATATTGATCATCAGAAAGTAAAAATGCTGGGAGGAGGACATGCAACTGCATTAATCTCCTGCATCTGTGTTTAGCACATTTGAAAAGCAAGTGGAAACTGGCATGAACGAAATGTCTGCAGTAACTGCAAGAAGGAATCAGAGATCTGGGACAGAGCAGACTGGACTTCTTGAAGAAAATAAGATCCTTCAAGGTTTGCAGCAAGATGCTGCAGATCTTCTATCAGTCTATTGTTGAGAGCATCATCTCTGCTGCTGTCATCTGTTGGAGCCGCAGCATCAGAGGCATCTTCAGATTTGCTGTTATTACAGACTGCTACAAGAGATCTTTCCTGCTAACAACCACCACTATTGTTATTGTCTTTTGTTATTGCAGATAACCAAAGAGTTATCTGCAATAACTCTTTGAATCATCTAAATTGAAATGAGTTCAATTGACGTTTAATTTCTGTTAGGTATTTTTCTCAAACCTATAAAAAAGACCACAGACAACGTATATGAATTTTATGACAAGCTTTTGCAAAAGGAGAAATCTCCATCAACGACTTCTTCAGCCGTTCACAGAGAGTTCTGATCTGCTTTCACGTGAGCTCCTTCTTTTATTGTCAAAGAAAAACAGTCACAGGGGGCAGTCAGTAAAAACAACAGAGGTCGTAAAACATTTAACCAAAACAACCAGCAACTCAGTTCCAGGTGTGATAACTGATCTACGGTCTGAGCCCGGTTCAAATCTCGGTCAAACTGTCAACAAAGAGGGAGGATAAACAAGAGACAAAATACGACTGCTCACAGGCAGTTAGGAGGTATTCTGGTTGATAAGAATTAAGGTCTGGGAAACACAGAGTTAACTGTTACACATGAAGATGAAACAGACAGTCCTGACCTCCAGGTCAGTTCATACACACATAAGGAAGAGAACACTTTAAACTAATTAACATAAGACTGAATATAAACTAAAGTAATAAAATGATAATACCAAAAATTCTCTAACAATTTCCATTTGGAATCAAAGCATTTTTCAATTCAAATTTGAAACTTAAAAAGTCCAAACAGAGGATCAGAACAGCTGTTTAGAGCTTTATTCTGACAGAGTTTTAAATGTTTTCGCTGTTGTTATAAGACTTTAAGATACTCAATCATATAATACATAACTACATAATTCATTTTTTTACATTATTACAATAATAACTCCATGGTTTTCAGACTCATCTCTCTCTCACAGTCACTCTGCTCTCAGACATTTTCCTTGTTGACAGCCTGTAGTAGATGCAAAATCCTCATTTAAAAGGACGCCCTGCACCACTTCTGCAACTGTTCACATAATGTAGATCACCAGCAACATGCTCACTAACTGCAAATACTTTTTTTTTTTTTTTTTTTTTTGTACAGGTCATTTAGCGCTTACTTTTTTGGAAACTTCAGATTAGCCCCACAGTTTTAAACTACTCTGATAAGAAAGTTGACTGTCTAACTTTTTCTTGGTTTTTATTTTAAGCTCTAAAA